TTGTTGAAAAACATTTGAAATTTCTGCATGAAAACAATGTTTGGTAATTTTGGAGGAGTTAAAACTTCTCTCTGAAAGACCTGGTTTATTTATCGTATCCTTGCTGATTCGACAGAGCTTCAGAAAGACTTTTAGTAGACAGATTACTTTTATTACTAATTTCAGGCCATGATATAAAGAAGTCTTCCATTTTGAGAAACCAGAGTAATAGTTCTTCCATAGGAGACAGAACTTAGTCAAAGGTGGAAGGAAGAAGGGATTAAAAAAGGAAGAGTGTCCTGAGACTTACTGGTTGTGGTAACAAGATGAGAGGCTAATTCCGCAAGAGTATCAGCTAAATTCCCAGTGGAAAAGAAAAATTTTTTATAGGTGAAATGCAGAATCGCTCACTTATTCCTGTCATTATTGATGTGAACATGGGACAAAGTCAAGGGAGTGTACAATGCTGAGTTTCTATAATTCGCTGATAATTTTTTAAGTAAAAATAGGTCAATGTGTACATGGCTACAGAGTTTGTGCAATTCTTCAACTTGTTATTTTCAAGTTGGTGCATTTTGACAGTGGGTGATTCTTCACTTTCCCCGATTTTATTTCCTTAGCCAACTCGGTAATGTTTCATCGAAAGAAAAAAATACCGATTCCTGAATGCACCTTTTTGTCCCTTTTCCTTTTCTTAACTCATGTAAGTTTAATGGGAATTTTAATCTCATTTTGATTTAACTATGAGATTATAGAAGCTACATCACAATGATACATCTGAAGTTTTCACTGCGTTAGAAAAGCCCAAATCATCAATTCAGCGGGAACGAAACCCATAGTATGGTTTTATATCAAGAGAATCAATTTTTTAACTAAAGGAGAAATTGCGTCTATTACAACCTTAATTTAATTGTGCAACCTCGCTAGCTTTAAAGTGATGATCTGAAATTTCTGTCATCCCTCCGATTATGGATCTTTAACTTTGCATTATATTTGCATATTTACTAACCATTCATACACTGGTCTGAATTTTATAGGTATATTCAAGATGTATTTTTCCACAGAGAAACAATTATGAAACCGGCATTTAGTAGCAATAAAGACATAATATATATCAACACTTATTAACATACTACACAGAAAAAATTTTAATAAAAAATAGTAGGCTATTATGAGAAATTACTTATGTCACTATTTCAAAATTACAATACGCTGGAAATGTAAACAAGCTCTTGGAAGAATTAAATGCAAAAAATAGAGAAACTTATTAATATAAATTATAGAACATGGATAAAACAACCAGATCTATCTTCAAAATATATTCTTTATTAATACTAGGCACATATATCTAAAATAAGTTAAAATGCGGCTTGGCGATTGTTTTTCAATGGGCAATAAACGCGCCAACATGGCTAACCCGATGTTTTGAAGCTGTGTTATTCTGTTGCCACTAAATGTTATTGCCGTGTGTTATATTTAAAGAAATTAAATATTGAAAAATCTGCATAAATGTTTCTTGCATTGTGATAAAACAACGGTATCTAGGGCCATTTTTTTTTTTTGAATAACATAAGTTTCCAACCTAATATGGGCATCTGGAAGCCCAAACTTGGAATTTTTTTTTTATTATCTGATTGGTATTTTGTAAAACTTGAATGAAATTTTTATTAGCAAACTCAAAGATTTCAAAGCGAGCAACTGCAACACAGTACGGGAAAGAAAAAACATTTTTACATGCAGAGCGCAAAACTGTGGATCAGAAATTCTAAAGATATGCTCATTTTAGAATTATTTTGCAATATTGCTGTTGAACTGAATTTTATGGTTTAAGTGTAAAGAACATTATATGATAAAGAAATGTAACACACAAAACGTTAGAAAAATCTAAAATCTAAAATGGACGTAAAAAATTAAAGCTTTAATTATTTTTTTTTATTTATTTTATTTTTTATTTTTAACTGTTAATTCTGTGGCGTGTTGTTTCTTTTGGTTTTTTTTTAATCGAGTCTCCCCCCCCTGTGGGTTTTAGCCTTTTTCTCATATATTACGGAAACGGCGTATAAACTTTGTAAATTTATAAAGATGAGGGGGGATCCACAAAGGGTTTTCCCCTGAAATAAATTCATATATAAAACCCCTCAAAAAGACGTTACATTTTTCTTGAAAAGGGTAAGTGAAAAAAATTTTTCTTGTATGGTTCGTTTTAAAGTGCTTATTTTAATATTTTGTATTTCTTTTTGGCTCAATCCTAGAAGATTGGAAAAGCTAACGTTGTGCAATTCTCTGATTTCTTTTTAATGAAAATAGATCGATATGTACATGGGCAAAGCCAATGCAGTGCGCAGTGCTGACGTTGTGCGTGATGCCGAGTTTGTGCAATTCTGGGATTTTTTTTTAAAGTGAAAATAGATCGATGTGCACATGGGCAAAGCCAATGTGGTGCAATTCTGGGATGTTTTTTTAAGTGAAAATAGATCAATGTGCACATGGGCAAAGCCAATGTGGTGGCAATGCCGAGGTTGTGCGGGATGCCGAGTTTGTGCAATTCTGTGATTTTTTTTTAAGTGAAAATAGATCGATGTGTACATGGGAAAAGCCAATGTTTCAAATTGTGGCCAACAAATATTATCGCCCTGTATTATATTTAAAGGAATTAAACGATTAAAAAATCTTCATAAATGTATGTATGTTTTCCCCCTCATTTTGATAAACAACGGTACCTAGAAACATCAAATTTAGAATAACGTCATCCTCCTGCGAATATGGGCATCTGGAAGCCCAAATTTGAAACTTGGAATTTGTTTTATTATCGTTTTTCATATTTTGTAAAACTTTACGAATTTTTGATTAACATATTGAGGAATTTCAAAGCAAGCAATGACAATGCTCTACAGATAAAAACATTTTTATCTCCGCGCGCGAGACTTGTATCGAAAATCTAAAGATATTTATTTAAAATTTTTGTGATATTGCTGTTGAACTGATTTTACGGTTTTAAGTGCGAAGAACATGATATTTAATTAATAAAGGTAACACGCAAAGTGTTAAAAAAAACGCACCTTTGGGGCGCAATGTAAAATCTTAAATTTCAGATTTTATTTTGTTTTTAATTTCATATATTTGTTGTCTTTTTTTTTTTTAATTTCCTATCGTTACAATATTACTATCGTAGCTTTAGATATCGAAAAGCCATGGCTTTCACAGCGTTTTTTAATAACTAGATACGAATAAATTTCTTCGGAGAGAGCACAAATGTCCGAAGACAAATTGTCAAGTAGCAGACGATAATTTATGCTTTCAAAACTATACTTGCAGTTAAAAAGAATTTCCAAGCAGACGATTTTATTTGGAATTTTTACTTCATAATTTGAGCAGTTAATTCATTTGCCGTTTGAATGTTCTTATGTGGTAGTTATCAATCGAGTGGTTTTATCTGTGTGTTTTTGCCATTTTTCTGCATATATTTCATTAAATAAACAATCGCTATGGATTTATTTGTGATGCTGAGAGAGAGGAGTGAATGTACATGTAAATTTATTACTTTATTGGAAATGCAAGGGAAGCGTGCCGTCATTGTCAAAAAGACTTATTTTCCTGAAAAGGGAAAGTGAAAATATTTTTTTTTTTAAAATTGCTTATTTTTAATATTTTTCTTATTTCTTTCATTGTGAAATTAGATTTTAAAATGTATTAATGTGTCGAATTCTAATACAGAAGTATGGAACGTGGTTTAGGAATTAAGAACATGGAAATGAAAGCTGTGTATGATTTGATATTCAATAATAAATTTTTTTTTTTTTTTTAATTATATAAAGCTTAAACATTTTTAGAAAATAATGAAGATTGTTTACTTACTAGTATGCAAGAGATGGTGTCGTTACATAGCAACAAGGTAATTTTGTAAAGATGATGACGTTAAAATGTTCCGCAATATGAAATTAAAATTTTTAAAAATCTGTTTTTATTTGTATAAATACTAAAGCTTAAAAATATTCACCCTGTATGAGAGACTGCGACGTTGTTTACAGTTTTAATAACTGTTACACTGTAGAGAATACATTGTGACGTCACATAGCTCCGCCTTCGTAACTTTGTTTATACAACGTTTACTGGTGATTTTTAAAAAATCGCCGCGACTGAAAATCGCCAAGCAGTGGGCTAAAGCACATTTTCACCCTAAAATATATTTCAAGAATTACTAAGCACAATTAAATCAATTTTAATCAGCAAAGAAGTGAAATATTTCAATCTTAAGTGATATTAAAATTTTTGCCTTTCAAATGTTTTGCTACTTTAATAAAACTTGAAGATGGGTTATTTTGCCAAGTTATTTTATTAAAAAAGCTTTCCAAATTTTATACTGCCTGCTTTTACAAACACACAGTAGGTCCAGGATGCTACTTTCAAACAAGCTGGCAAGACCTCATAAATGCTCTTAAAATACATGCAAGTCTGAAATGTTTGCATATCATTCTTTATCAAATTAAAAAATATGACTTACTATGCAGAAAATTCACCCAACTTTTTTTTTTTTTTTTTTTAATTTAACAGCCAGTCACTCAGCATTCTCAAGAGTAATGGAGTTTTCCTCGTTATATTTTCTAACAGCTTCACTTACAGGCTTCCTTTTCTACAAAACACAACTTATAAACCCGACATTTGTTTTTAAATTCCAAATATCAATTACTTTATCTAATACACATTTTTATAAATATTCAGAAAATAAATTTATAACAATAAGCAACCGCATTCTAAAATACTTTCAAAGAAAATTTTTCTTAACTTATATATATGCATATTCTGTATACTTCAACACAAATTTTAAATATTATGAAATATATTTAAGGGGTGGAATGTTACATGGAAAATTTTCAAGCTTTCTAACATAATGAACAAAGATGTATCCGATTATCATAACCAAAAATTAACATATCAAAATGCCAACAGCTACATCATGGTCACAAAGTCTTCCCATCAGTTGTGTATAAATAATACTAATCACACAAGCAAAAATTACTTACTTGCATAGTAACAAGTCTTTCATCCACCATAACTTCCTTTGTCAAAAAGTCAGCTCCAATAGTAGCCTTGTATTGATTGCTGAACTTCTTATTTACATATTGGTTCATAAGAGAAGTTTTTCCAACCCTACACAATTACATCATTTACTTTATACAGCAGTAATAAAAACATTAACTGACACAGAGCTTCTTTAAACAGTACTTACCCACTATCTCCAAGAATGATAACTTTTAAAAGAACTTTTTTCCTAGAAGCAGCCATCGTTACCAGATACCTAGATTACAAATAAAATACGCTTATTACAAAAAATGCTGAAATGGTAAGTATTATGCATATGGGTACCTATTAATACATTTACATACTTAAAATTTCATAAGAGAACGTTAGCTCTGAAGTTATAATACCTTGAAGAACAAAATGAAAATTCTTCCTAATCTACGAAGGCAACTCAAACTCATGGATTAAAGAACACCATAAAATCGTTAAGTGCTTTCTTTCTTCACTATTTTCATAATCCTTCGCCATACATATAACTTCACTTATAACATTTCTAATACA